ACTCAGACTAGTAAGAGTTTGAAGGGGAGTATTATGAGATGATTAGTTCATCAACGGACGAACCACGAGACAATGACTTCATAATGTCTCAGTTAGAATACATACAATATAAGGACGAGAGACACTGAGCAGTCAATCGTCACCTCACCCCTTGTCTATGTGTGCCCCCCTTAAGTTTTCCCTCTTAACAGATTCCTAACCCCGTTGCCAAACATCCGAAACCTAACTCACTCGCTAACCTAGCGCGAGGAATTATAAAGGAATTCGAAGGATGCAATGATATCTGTAGAAAGAAAAGCGATCCTTAAGCCGTAATTACGGTAAAACAGATGACGCTGATACAAACTGATTCGTTTCTAAGCTAGTCAATGAAATATATGGGAAGTTGGTTGTCTCGTGTTTCTTTGTCTTAGCGTAGGAATCAATATAGTGAAAATAATACTTGATACGCTGAACATGTACGTGTCGGCTCTTCAGGTCCGTACGGAGATTAGATCAGGCATGTTTACGGTCGCTGCTTCCGAAGTGAGTGTGGCTGTGACGAGATAGGTGATCAGCATCCGCTAAAGGCAGTCTGATCAATCTGAACCTGCACTAAACCCTAAGCTTGTGAAATGACCAGGCATCGAGTAATCGAGTTCATTCGAGTTCGGGCTGCCAGCGCCCGCATATGGCGCCGCCTGCTGGTCCCTCGCGCCTACGCGGGCATAAAATGCCACCGTGTTTAAAGCTGGACTGGACGCTCCTTTCTCCTGTAACACAACCATTCCCCTTATCCCCTCTCCCCTCCCTTCTACTCAATCATTCATAGCTCGTCATGAAATCATTCCTCATTCTTCAAACACTTGCTATCGCTGCACTTGCTCAGTATACTCCTGAGAATGCTCCTGATCAAACTCAGGATGGTCAGACAGGTACCAACAAGTGTGGCACAGTCTCGAGCCAGACGTCGATGTGCCAGAATGCATACTGTAAGCTTCAATACTGGATTACATTTACGTGATCTTGGAACTTAGAAAGTCCTAAGTGAACTCTGTGAGCGACTTTTGTCTGTACGCGCCACCCGAGCCTGGTCCTGGTTCCACTATCGGTGAAACGGAACGCATCGAGGTATCGTGGTGCACACAAGTACGTAATCCCGTATCATTTATTCGACTGCAATTTTGAAAACACACGCTGGGCAGGACGGGAAAGGCACGCGCGTAATGCCCGATGGCACACTTCAAGGTGTTCACTTCGTCAAGACCCCAGACTATGTGCAAGTCACTGGCATCGGCGATCTCACGAAAATAAACATTCCTCAGGGTGATGCGGGAGGGTCAGTAGTTTTCTTGAGTCGTTGAAAGCGCGTTTTTAATATGTTTTTGAACTAGCGAATTGGATCCTCACGGTGCTGATGGAAATGGTGAGGCGGTAGACAGATTTGATTTATTACTTTTCCTTACACAATCCTGCAGGTAACCCTATTGGCGGACTTGTTTTCTCCAATGCGTATGGACAGATGGAACAGATACATGAATGGACGGTAAATTGTGTTGCTCGAGACTGCATGCGCTTCGGCTCGTCTGATTGTTATCTTTAACTAGAATTTCATGTCATCGACTGAATTTTGTTTCCGTGCTTGCAGAGACGGACAAAATGCAGCAACACTGTGCCAACACATTTACGACGAGATGGGTTGCGAATGGAACATGCCCGGTAACTATGATCCAGGCGTATTTGAGGAGTGCGCTGGAGACACCGGAGAGGTACACCTGTTCTCTGAATGCACTCAGACTTTATGCTCATATTCGTTACACTTACAGCCGATGGGAGTCTATGGCGGATCGACTTTCCACCAGGGCGATGCCCAAACGCCACCGCCTCACCCTGCACCCTCATCATCTCAATGCTCGACAATTGCGACTATCAGTGCAGATGCGACCTCGTCCACGTCCACGTCCTCGTCCTCGTCTTCGGTTAGTGATATCTCCACAGTTTGATTTTTCACTTCCCCGTATTCATCATCGGCAGAATTCTGAGCCGGACTCTTAAATACGAGGGTGTACTGCAGACTTTAATCTCTGCATCCGCACACCTCATTCCTAATCACACCTATCGCTTGATCCATCCTTTTCTCCACATTCTACTGGACGGCCACTTCTTTATTGACTTCTTGTCCTATCAAGGGAACGAATACAGCCTCGTCAAAGGGTAGCTCATCGACATCGAGCTCGACTAGCGCACCAGCATCGCAATCAAATAACTCATCCAACAACGCAGCTGTTGGAAACTACCTCGGAACTCCTACGATGGGGGGTTCGATATGCCTTTCCTTTGTTGTCGCATCTCTAGGATACTTCTCTGGAAGTTCTCTCGTTCTTTAATGACAGTCAGGACCACTTTCCGCTTCTCCTATTTAGTCTTCGATTTTGGGCTACGCATAACGAATTCTGCCTTTCTGGTTCTTTCCTTGGATACGGCAGACGCACAATGGATGATTAGACATCGAGCAATTTCCAGGGACCTTTTCTCCGTCTTCGCGGCGACACGAGCTTTTACATTCTTATATAGTATGTCCATGTTAATCAGCTTCACTTTGCGCCTTTTTCTGCATGTGGAACCCAGTTTGACACGATACTTCTTACAATAACATCGATATTCAATGAGTTTTAGTGAGTTTGAATAAGCATGTGGATGACAAATCAGTATTATTACATTGTGCACGTGACTTATGAACTTGAAAATCTGGCAAGTGTCCGTGTCATTTTGCTCGTCGCGACGGTTCATCATGCGATTAACTGGAAAAGTCCCTCCACCTCAGCAAGCAGTAGCGGCTGTTCTTTCTATCCTGAAGAAATCTCCAAATGGCGCATCTACGCGAGAAATCTACGAGCGTGCAGCGCCGAAAACTATACCCAGAAACGAGATAGAATCGGCTGAGGAGCCCCCTTTCCAGTCCATGAGGTGGGGGGTTACTACACGTTTGCTGGGGTCTGACTGGTCATTTAACAGTATTATTCTAGGTTTCTGAAGAAAACGGTTTTAGCGGCGATGCAACGAAATGGTACCATCGAGAAGTTTCATGTGATGAAGGACCCATCTCCTGAGCAGGTAGCCGAGACTGCGAAGTTAGCTGCAAGAAAGACGATGAGGAAGCCAAACCCGGTCGCACCCAGGCGTACATGGCTCTGGAGGATCCATGAATGGGGCCAGTCAATCGAACAGGCGAGGGAGTCGTACGGGAAACGGTTAGAAGCACAGCAGCACAAACAACAGTCGACAAAGTCAAAGGAGCACTCTGCTTGAGTTTCGATCGGTGCAAGGGAAACTTGATGATCGTTGGCTCTAACGAACGGGAGTGATCGAGCAACCCGGTAAATACGGAAATACTTGCGGCGGAAAAGCGCTTCTACTTGGCGCCATGTCGCGGCGGATTGCGCACTCGGGGAGAAGAGACGGGTAAAATGGAACAAGGATTTCCAAGACGGAGTTGTTTATTTGTGCGTATATCATACCTGACCGTCTAATAGGCGAATAACTTCCTTAATGACTATAAAAACGAGTATAACGCTACCCTTATCAAGGCATTGATACCGTGGGATCTGCGAGGTGTTCGAGAAGAAACGTCGCTTCCAATCTCTTAGCGATTCCCAGCAATTTATTATGCATGATGGGCAATACGCCTTCTTCAAGGTCTTGTGCTATAGCGAACTTCTGTGCAGCATGGCTCGCAGGGAAAATAAGCGAATTTTGGTATGGAAGATATCAACTGTGCCTTCGTACGCCATGTGCTCTGCTTGCTGTTAAACGGTGTTCCGTTCGTGTTATTGCAGCTATTGGTCACGACTTTATTTACATTGACCTCTGAGTTGTCTGATAGCCTGTAGGCCATTCATTCGATCAAGTAACAGGATGACTATAAGGAGAACTTTCGGTTTTCGCTGTCCTGGCCGAGTCGACTGGCAGGTCTTGAACGATCTGCGTACCTTGTCTATATTTATTGTGCGCATCTACTCGGGTTCTGTGAGAGGTCCTTAAAAGCCCGACGGTGTCGTAGAAACGTTCCGTGGAGTCAGTATGCTGCTCACCCTCTTATCTCTAGTCGCCGCAGGGGCCGCATCTGTAGTTCTAAGGGCTCCTGATCCATGCGCTGCAATAGGAGGGCAGAAATGGGTAGCACCCAGCGCAGTTCGTGCGTGCTTCGAGTCCTTCCCCATCAACGAGACGATTAAGGAAAATGTACGCTTGTTTATTAATATCTTGTGCTCAGCCTCACTGATGTCCTGACATGACATACATGGAATTCATAGATTCTTGAAGTTGTGACGAAATCACTTGCGTTCCATACTTCAGTCAATTACCAATTGCGCGCTCCGGAGCCGTTCACTGCGGACGTGCATGAGGATATCCTCGGCGATCTGGCCCGTATTGGGCGTACAAGTTACCCTTCCGAGTTTGAAATGCATATCGACTTGTCGCGCTCCGTGAAACGGTTGATGGATGGTCACTGTGTCTATATTAACATGTGCTATGACTCGCTATTCTTAACCTTCGTGCCTACTCCTCTGGTGCTTCTTACGGATGCGCAAGGGAATCAAGCTGTTCACATTGCTCCTGAGGCCTTTGAAGTTGCTAGTGCAGAATTTGCGGACGAGATTCCCGTCTGGCAGAATGCACTGCCGGGAAACCTGAAGGGCAATCTGGCATCTGTGAGTGCAGGTTAACCTACAGCGCTATTTGTGTGCATGTTTAGCATATGCTATACGACAGCTCTCTGGTGCTAAAGTCCTCGCTATAAACGGCAAAGACCCGTTTGTCGCTGTCGACGCCAATGCTGCAATAACAGGAAGCTTCCAAGGTTTTGGCACGCGTCAGAATAGGTATGAACATTTTGACTTTTACCTTTTACTTAGGAGGATCGGCGGTTTAGCGCCCTACGCCTTCCTCTTGCACGAGCCTTCCTAACTGCCCTTAATACTCTATAGCTTCTTTTCTAGTTACCAGCGCGTCGATTCGGGATGGAACTACGTCATGGGTAACTTCGCCCAGATGTCGCTCCCGCTCGCGGACTCTGTAACGCTGACCGTCCAGCGCGTCAACAGTAGCAAGACAGAGACCTTCACTGTGAGCGCTACTAATAGTCTGCATTTACGTGCTGTTCATATCGTGCACAATGCAGTTACCGTATCGCTCGCGCTTTGGCTCTACGTCTGTCAACTTTACGGACTCCGCGACCTTCCGCGAAAACAATTGTGTCGCTGTCGACGGCACAAATGGCATGGCCATATCCGAAAATTCATTTACTAACTCACCTCCAGCTGTGCGTCGACTTCCAGGAGGGCGTTTTGCGCCCAAACCAACTATAAGCCCGGAAGTAGTATCAAAGCATCTGATCTCGCTCATGCTTGATGATAAACCGCAAACGGATGTTGTTTTACCCTCCCCACTACAGCCAGCTTCACCAGTCGCTGGTACAGGTGTATCGCAATTCTTCTTGCTTGACGATGGAAAAACAGGTGTCTTGGCCCTTGGCAGCTTTGAGGAACCAGACTTCGATACATTCGAGACCACGTTGCTGAGTGGGCTACAGACACTTGTAGGTAAAGGCGCGACCCAACTAATTGTCGACGTGGTGAGTTAGCTATTCATCAAGATAATCCTATGCGATATAATTGACGTGCAAATCAGACCAATAATGGCGGAGGTACGGAGATCCTTGAACTGATTACTGATCAAGGTTCCAGACTAATCTGAAATTCAAAGGCTTCATTTGTATCGCCCATGTAAGTCCGCATTGAATAGGCCCCACTTATAACTATGTTGATCAGTTTCTCCGATAGTGGTTACACCGCATTGTGAGCGTCTTCATTAAGAGTATCAGATAAAGACTCGTGCTGAAATGCTGCAGATTGCCGGTCCGAAGAACACAACGGTGCCCCAAGCAGGACTGGATACGAAGGCAAGAGCGGGCCCTCTCGCACAACTCATCGTCGACCAAATCGTCACCGGAGCGGACCCTAACAACTTCCTCCTGTATAATCCCCTCAACTGGGCGTTCGCGAACAATACCCCGTTCCCGGCCAACTTTAACTGGCTGCAGGACCCAGTGAAGACGGTTATCAATGGACGACAGGACGCATTCAGTCAACGGTAAGTCAGTGACGTATGTTCAACGTCTTATCAGAGTTTCAATCACCGCACAACGGAGGCTGATTGACTTCTTTTCTCCCGTGAATCTCATGGTGAATCTCTGGCTATGGACTGGACGGGGAAATGATGAACTCTCTTTGGCGGCTTCTCGTAGTCTGGGCCAGGAATGCCAACCCTTCGATATGACGACGCCCGATGCACCGCTCTTTGACACGAGTAAGGTTGCAATCGTCAGCAACGGCAGGTACGGTCCTTTTTCTTGGACGAACTTTCCCAAGAACGGTAAAATACTCATACTCGTGTTAGATGTGCGAGTTCGTGTTCGCTCTTCTCGGTGAGTAAGGCTGGTTCTTGGCGACGTCATCGCTGCTTCCATTCAACACGAGAAGCGCCTGGTACTGAATTGAGTTATGCCGAAGGTTACTATGAACAAGGAAGAAGGTGCGAAGATGGTGGTTGTCGGCGGTAAGAAGGATGTTACCCAGCAATATTGTGGTACGGTTGGCGGACAGTCGTCCGATTTCTCGACCATGGACACGGAAGTCAAGGTGAGAGATCCTCCTTACTGCGATAGGCGGCCTAGGTCATCAGTGCGTGCACACTGCATGTCCAGGCTGCATGTCGTAAAGTTGCTTTCATTGCCTGACTAACCAATTCTTTGTTCCGCGTATAGACCACTCATCTCAAGAACAATTCTCTTGCTCCGCCTGATTTGTGGGTTTACTCTTCTCCTTCCTCTCTCTTTGATGCATTTGGTCTAGATTTTGTACCGTTGAGCGGACCACGGTCCGCATTGTATGCATCAACTGGCATGTTTCAATGAATGGTCGCATTCTTCTCCCGTATTTTGAACCCCTCATCCCCACCCAGCTCCACTTTTATGCGGCCCGCTAATACCGTTCAGAGTCCGCTGACCATCAAAATTCCGTTTTTTCTTATACATGTAGCTTAACGAATAGCGTGCAAGGTATAACCTGGCGCCTCGGATTTGGTATCGTGGACCCAACGCAACCAGAGGGTACGTCCTAATTTGCCAAGTCCATTACCGGTCTCTTTTATCTGCTTGTTCTCTTCCCCGTCCTTCCGCCTTCCTCGCGTCATTGATGCGATTCTTCCGTTCTCTGGGTCTCGCACGTATGACGTATTGCGAATTCACTTTTGCTACCGCCGCTTTCTCTCCAAAACTTCGTTCTTCTTTACGCCATCATCGTTCGTTCCTGGGACCATCTCCCCGGACCTTTCTCCCGCGTCAATTGAGGAATTCATTTCTTTTTCGCTTCTTCCCGCTGCCATTCCCCTTCTAATTGCAATATCGAAAACGCCCGTGTTTGCGATATCCCGGGAACTTGTCTGTCTTCATCCTTCTGCTATTGCCTCGTGCTATATACTCCGCGCGATGTACTTTCCCGTTTATACTTTAGAGGAACCGTGGATAACCGAGGAACTGACGTTCTCTTCCTTTTTTTTCTCGACCCTTTTTCCTCCTGTGTTGGCTTCTCGGTTCCTTCTTGTGTCTGGATGAACAGAATGGCAAGACCGCACCGCGAACGTGAACTTCCCGCTTACTGCCGAGACGTGCGTCACCTCTACTTCTTTGTATCTTCTACGTTTACTGAGTTGGTATCCCCTGGGTATACAAATTATCAGCGTTAACAATCCGATGGCACTCTGGAAGGCAATTGCCGCTTCCGTCCTGTGATCAATCTCAGTCCAAGTAATGCTCTTTAGTAATTTTGGAATTTACGTGAATCGAATTGGATTGGTGGGGCTTTGGTGGAGAGCGAAGTGAAGTTTTATTTTTTGTGAAGTCGTTACGCTTTATAGAAGGAGGACTGCCCGAGGAGTAGGTATAAAGGAGTGTTCGAAGGAAGTCGGACGTTGGGAGTTTCAGGACGGCTTAGCGCGGATGATGTTAGGGTGCAGGCGAGATGCGTTTCCGTTCATGCAGCTACACGTGGTCGGTGAACCGGGGCGAGGGCGTCTGGATGCGGGTTCTGAAGTTGCGAGATGAAGGAAAGCTTAGGGAAAGAACGGACTAGGGAGGGAGAAATCATTGTAGCGGTTCGGTTCGTGCATCCTTCAATATGAACAGGTTAGAAGTGTTCGTAGGTTTGAGGAAACTAGTTCAACTGTATGCCTGAAGGTTTGATAGTACTTGTATCCAACACGATGGCAAACCTGGCTACCCTACAAGCAAAGCTTGAAGGGTTCTCGGGTTACTTCTACACCTTATATCAATGCAAAGGGAGTGGTACTGTTCGGGTGTCCGCGCTTCCGCTGCAACACAAAGCAAACGCGACTCAGAAAGTACTAGTGCTAACCATGCAAGCACTCGAGGCACTCAATCCGGATTCTTGCATGAGATGTTAGTGAGAACCTGCTCAATCCAGCTGATCTTCGAGTAGGTCTGTCTAGAAGCTAGGTTTACAGTTCCAAAAGGAGCTGATACTGAAGCGATTGAATAAAACCAAATACTGAATGAATACGAATATGAAGCCTTGTGCATAGTAGGATACAGTTCCGCTTGGTGTGATGATGAACGATGAACCAAGATCAGAATGTTGCGTGTATACATAACTTACATACCAATCCTTGATATCATAAACATCTATATCAATGCAGAATTCAAATCGGCGATGTCGGTACGAGTGGATAGTGAAATGATATTAATATTACAATTAACGCATCAGCATCAATCTCATCCAATGTAATGTTGACTTTGCAAGCGCCTAGTATTGGAGATGCCCGAAGGGTTTATTCAACGTCTAGACGCTTGGGAACTCATTACACAAGACCAGCCAGAGGTAGGTAGGTAATGTTGGCTTGATCGGCGAATAACTTATACTAGTATAAAGCCAATGTCAGAGATATCATATGCATGATGGAATTATGCATGTGAGCTTGTACTTCCCAAGTCGGTAGGTTAGTCTGCACTGATTATAGTCTTCAAGGGACACGGAGGGCATTAATATCAATACATTAGATTAGATTTCAGACTGAATTAAAAGCTTTCGTTCTACCGCGCGCGTACTCAAAATTCATATGCATGTGAGCGTACAGCATATGAGTTCTATACACATTATAGTTTGAAGCTGTCAAAAGATCGATCCTATGACGTATGGATCTTCAAGGCGAACTGCTTTCCGGACCGTCAAGCGCTCGGTACCACTCCGAAAGAAAACAAACCTTGAAATTCCTTCTATTTCTTCGTCTTCTGACTTATGACAGATGACATATGGTGTATGTCGTAGCTCTGGATTAATACCACCGTCGAGGTCAGTTTCTAACAAATTTACAAGTTAGCACTCCACATCTACGTCCTGTAATGTATCAGGCGTGGAGAAGAATACGAAGAAATGAGGAATTCATGTATGGAGTGCTCCGAAACTTTGTAATCATAGCATCCAAAGCGCTGGAGAAAATCCAGGACAGTACCAATATTATACTCCACAGCGAGAGAGTGGAACACTGGAGTAGGCACAACTTCCAATTCTGTGTTTTATATTATTTATCTCTCCCACACCATACCTTATAATTTGAATCTGAGGTGGACAAGGAAAACTTGATACGAGGAAACGAAATGACACTCGACAAAGTATTACTCTGAACTAATCTCGAAGTCTAATCTTTCTTTGATCTACTAGTGACTGGTCTCGAGGTCTCATGACTGAGGTCTTGAGGCCGAGAATTCAAACATAAAGAAACGGGGGACCCAAGAATACAGGAAGTCAGGGACTTGAAAGGGAAGTAGAAACCTTGTGCTCATCTTCTGACATATGACATATATGTCGTATGTTGTAAATGCTGCCGCCGAGATCATATCCTGTAATATTTACAAGGTTTCACTCCACTTCTCTGCGTCTTACTTCACAGTAGTCAAACAACCGAAAAGTGCATATTGTGCAGAAGAAGAATGAAGGCAAGGAAGAAAAATAGGCGACTTATATTTATGTCTTATGCTCACAAACGAGAGATGGCGCACAAACAAACTTTCACTCTGCAGTATACAAATCTCGACGTCGGGATCTTTGTTCCAATCGGCTCTCACTGGTCACTGATCTCGAGGTCTCAAGGTCTCGAGTCGTCGAAAAACGGGGGACCCAAGGAATCAGGGACTCGGAGGGCCAGTAAGTACTAAATTAAATAGATATGTCTCGGAGCACGGGAGGAACTTTCCGAATCTTCCGTACTCCGGTACAGCTTCAATACTTTACTTTCCGATCGAAATCACCGATCCTCGCCTCGATACTCAATATTTAGTACTTAATTTTCGATCCCTGAATATCAGCATGCGCCTATTAGTATTAGTATTAGTATTAGTATTAGTTGGTAGTGGTAATGGTAGAGGCATCCGCTGATCTCCTCGTTGTCTCGTGATAAACTAAACATAAGCATTAGTCCCAGCCCAAAAATTTAGTATTACTAGTACTTCCAGGATTGACTAGTACAGTCCATCATGATATAGCCTCCCAACTAACACACTGAAGCTCGAGGCCCTACCTACTAGACTATATGTATTACTTTATATTCATGCATTTCACAAACTTCCAGTATTCAAATTCGCCAAAAGCCATCAAGTTATAGAAACTCAGAATGTCAGAATATAGAAGGACGGGAAGAAGAACACATGAGAAGGAAATTGCAGGAATAGGGCAGAAGCCACTCAGGCTCAAGTCAAAACTCAAACAAAGCAACGGAATTGGGTCCCAGACCACATATATCGAATTTCCCAAACAACCTAACAACACCATAACATTTTACACATACTTTATTCTCTATGCATAATATCATATAAGTACAAGTTCAACGTAACATACATATTCTTATTAAGTTATTTTATTCTTAGAATGAACGTCATCGGTTTTCGATAGTCGCCTCTCGGCAACCAAGACAAGTACCAAGTTCTCCCTACTTAGGACCTCTCCATCTCTAAATCAGGCTTGCCGTAGCAAATTAGTGAATCCAGACCCTTACGAATCATGAATTACAACATTGGTAAGTATATTAGGTTGTTAGGAGTCAAGAAGACAAAAATAAAGAGGAACGTGCGCAACGAAGCTTCCCAACCTACTTACAATATTAATAACAATGTTAGCTGTCGTCACTGTAAAACTTTACCTTATTATACTCTATACACAATTCAATTCAATTCAGTCCTCCTACCAATGTGGACGGTACACACACAAAAGACAGAGAACTGACCGAAATGAAAAGTGATTGAAATGTAAAATTGGAAAAATGTTAATTGTAATTGATTTGACTGGGATTGACTGGGGTTGATCAGATTGATCAGATTGACAGTGTGATAGAAATACATATTGAGGTATCTCAAACACGAAATCAAGCACAAAAAAGCATAGACAAAAGAGTATGTGCTTTTCCAGAAAGGGCATCACCTCACTTCACCACACTCACTGTATTGAAACAAAAAAAAAAAGTAGTGCATTTTTGTCAAAATGAGAAAAATGGAGACGTCTAAGATTGTTGTCTGTTGTTACACATGAAAGCAGATGAAGCAGATAAAGAAGAAACAATACAGAAATAGTGAAAATATCCAGGCCTGACAAAAAGAAGAAATGGAGATGAGGATGGTTGCGGACATGGCAGGTATGTGTTTGTGTGCATGAGGGTGTGTCACGTGGAGGTATGACAAAATGAGGCTTTAGAAGTGTGAGGTATGGAGGATGAGTGCGTGTGTGTGTGTGTGTGTGTGTGTGTGTATGTATGAGGGAGGGTGAGCGGAAGGAGGTAAGGGGTAGAGGAAGGTGAGGATGTCCATGCCGTCGTCGACTCGTCGCAGTCATAAACCAGACATAAACGTGAACGCGAACGCGAACGCAAGAGCAAAGAGGAAAAAAAAAAAAACGAAAGAGGAGAAGGGGAACAACCAGCCCCTCCTAATCCTTCCTTCCAAAACCAAGTAGTAATAGTCCGAAAGAAAAAAGCAAAAAAAAAAAGGGAGACGTTGCCCGCTCGCGCCGACTCCGCGCATGCCCATCAACAAATTTTTTAAACCCCAACACCACCAACAAGCACCTTAATAACCAACCCTCCCTGCTCATCTCTCCCTCTCCTCATCAACTCAAACGCTTCCTTCGCTTCACTCAAATCAAATCGATGTGTGATCAATTTCTCGATTCCCTTTAGTGTTCCTGAAGAGAGGAGGGAGAGAGCTTCAGGGTAGGTGTTTGCGTATCGGAAGGATCCGAGGAGGTCGACTTCGCGGGTTGCTGCTGCGCTGAGAGGGAGAGTTACTGTTGGTGAGCCCATCCCGATTAGCATTACGCGGCCGCCTGGGGTGCAAGCCTGTTTTGGGAGGAGGAAGGAAGGAAGGGAGGGGTGTGTCAGTAAGGAAGTTTGCGAGAAGAAGTGAGAGAAGTAAATAGGAATAGGAACAGGATTATATGAATGTATCGGGTGGAGAGGGAAAGAGAAGAGAGAAGAGAAAAAGAAGAGAGGAAGAAGGAAACAGAAACTCACGTGAACGCTCATCTGTATACAGGTCTCCGCACCCGTACACTCAAACACGATATCAAATCCATCAGGAGCGTCGAAAGTCTGTAAAGCAGCCATGATATTCTCTTTCGCGCTTAAGAGCTTCTCCTCCTGTGTCTGTGGTGCACCTCCTTTGCCACCCTTATTTGATGATAAGGGAAGACAGTAAGTTGCGTCCGCCAAGCCGTTGGATTGAGCAAAGTGCAAGCGCTGAGGGTTGATGTCGAGTGCGACGATGCGGGAGGCACCGTGTGCGCGTGCGAGGGCACAGGCGAGGAGACCTATTGCGCCGACGCCGAAGACGAGGACTGTTTTGTTGGTGGTGTCTTTTGAAGAGGAGGAGAGACCGACTCGGCGGGCTGCGTGAATGAGGACTGAGAGAGGTTCGGCGAGGGCTGCGAGTTCGAGAGGGACGTTATCAGGGATGCTAAACAAATTGGTATTAGACATAGGTAGAAATGGAAGAGTACGATGAGTAGACGCACGGGTGTAGTAAATGCGCAGGATGGTTCATCCGTTCCTGGAGCGTGCCATCAAGGTGGGGGAAAGTCTTCGCAGAGCTGCAAAACCGCATCCCCTTACAAAGATTATATCTTCCCTTCTCGCAATACCCACATTTATTGCACATGATACCACATTCGATGGCGACGCGTTGACCGACACGGAGGTGGGATACGCCAGGACCGAGAGCGGTGACGATGCCAGCGGCTTCGTGACCGAGGCAAAGGGGCGCTTGGAGAGCAAAGTCGCCGTTGCGGCCGTGAGTGTAGTAGTGGAGGTCGGAGCCGCAGAGACCTGTTGGTCCGAGTTTGATGGTTGCTTCGCCCGGAGCGGGAGGCCAGAGAGGACGGGTTTCGATGCGGAGGTCGGTGGGGCCGTAGCAGACAGCAGCGGATGTTGTGGGGAGCATGCTGGGTACGGGCATAGTCATGGGCATGGGCATCATGGGCATCGATGGAGCGCTCTTTTTGGGAGGAGTAGTGACTAGTCAGGTGAGTAGCAAGAGGAGCAGTAGGAGGGGAGGGGTGCAGCAGCTGAGAGTGAGCTGGGCTGGGATGCAACATTGGAATGAGAGAGGGAGGATATATATATTATTGCAGAATGGGATAATGGGATAAGTGTGCTGTTTGTCTGTTGTTGGCCAGTTGATTGGGAGAATTGCTGCCTAGTCCATTAGAATTAGAAGAGACTCAGAGAAGACGCGGACGGCAGTCGATGGCTATGGACTGTCCGGCCCGATTCCCGTCCCCGCGCTCGTGACCCCCCAGGATCGAGATCGCATGATAGCCTAAGACCCCCTCCATCCATACACAGCCACAGAACTCAATCCTCCCTTGCTGTCGGCTGGCATTCTCCTCAACGTCCCCGTCCGGCCAATATTCACATTGCACTCCACATATGCCCATCCTTTGCTCGTCCGTCACTTCAGCCAGCGCACATCCCACGTGTGCCAGAGAACGCACCGTCGTCCGGATGCGTGCATGCAGACACGATGCCGGCGGCTCCCTCACTTCACTAAACTGGTGATTTTTCACAAAGCACCCCCGCAAATTGCCTCGCCGCACCCGCGCTTCTGAATCAAAAAATCCGCTTGTGCCAAATGCCATTCGGCTTGCGGTCACCTGTCCACAGTCCATCTCCCTTCCTTCCCTCTGCCGACACCTTCCACACATATCGACTCATCCCTCTCCCTTCCTCTCGTTTTTCTCCGATCCGCGAACCTGGGTCGTTTCTCACTACTGCATACAGTTCTGTTCACTAAGATACACTAGTGCCACCAGACAGTAGCCGGTAGCCACTAAGCCTGTAACCTTCTTGAATTCCTTTCTTTTCTGTTTCTTTGTTTCCCTGGGTGCGCATTGCGCTCGCCCTTCGCTCTCTTGAGTCGTTCCCGACGTAACCCGTACGCGCGCTAATTTCCTTTCTTCTTTTTCGTCGGATTTTACTCTTGCTGCCGTACACCCTCACCCTCTCTCCCCTTCCTTATCGTTCTGTTCTGCTCTAATTCTGATTCTGACAGACAGACAGAACAGAACAGAACACAGAATACCCTCGATCGAATAATCGAAAAAATAACCTGTCTGATTGGAAATTTGGAATAGCCAAGGATAGGGATGTCCGCAACTCGACAAAGCCCATGTACACATATGTTATACCGTCGGTGTTAACGCCCTATAAATGACAATGACAATGACAGCCTGGGACACCGAGCTCCTCCTGCTCTACCCTCCTATATCCTCTATCCAATACGATTCCATTGAACGCGGCCGCGTCCGTCGTACCATCAGAAAATAAAAACTCAAATAAGAAGACCATCCACCATCTACTGTCGTCCATCGTCGACTGAAGATGCCGAACGCCAGCGCTCGCCTCTGCTCCCGATCGTATGTGTGTGCCTTGCCTTGTTTGCGCCACCGGCACCGACGTCCCAGCCCAGCGTCTATCTATCACAATCACAAATATCATCTCTCTCTCTCTCGATCCCTCGTTCTTTGTTCCTGAGGAGACGGGCGATGACGTTGCCGAGGACGATGGTGGTGGTGGCTGGTAATTGTCTTAATGTCTTAATGACAAAATTAATATGTTAAGTGTATCATTGCGTCTCAACAACTTCATCATCATTGACTTCTTGCTTGCAATTCCACAATCTGCAATTCCACAATCCTAATTCCGTCTAATCTCCATTAAATTTTTTTAATTTTTAATGTGGATGTGGATGTGTTGACTACGAAGGCCCGACGACGATCTTCACTCAACCTACCTACCTCCGTCTGGTCTGCTTATTTTTTATTTTTATTAATTAATTTCGGCATTGCCTCGAGGGAGAGAGAACCCCGAGAAGGCTTTGGTGGGTCTTGAGCGTACGTGAATCTGAATCTAGCTATGTATCTCTCTTTCTGTGTTGTATGGTGTTCTTTTTTTCATTTCGAAGGTTGATAAACTACAGTATACCTCTAGATCTGTTTTTCAGTTTTCAGTTTTCATTTTGTGTTTCGTGTTTCGTGAGAGGTCTTCGGGTGGGGTTTGAGTGTACGTGAATCTATTTATGTATCTCTGTGTCTCTGTGTCTCTGTGTTCTCGACAACGTTCTTTTTCATTTCGTCGGTCAATAGCCTTGTTTTCGTGTTTCGTTTTAATTTCCGGGGGAGATCTGGAGACTCTCTCTCTGGTGGGGGTTGAGCGTATGTGAATCTAGCCATGTATCTGTGTTTGTGTATGTCTGGGGGTCCGCTTTTCGGTTGTGAGACGCGGTCGAGCGGACTTTGAAAATTTGCCATTTTAAGCCGAAATGTGGTGATCAAAGTGTCCGCCTTGCTTATACTTAACTTGAAAAATCAGTAGTCATAAAAAAATCAATATTAAAAGAGTATATTGATACATGTTATACTTATTAATACAATTCATGTGTTATACTTGAGAGAAATGTTATACAGAAATTTATTTGGCTAAAGTAAAGTGTAAGCTACAAGTGAATCAGTAGTGATCAGCAGTCTATTGCAAAGGAACGACGCGAGTGTGACAAAATATCAGCCAAATTCTCTGTGACAATGTGTGACTACAGCCATTCTGGCCTCATTCTTTATTTCATTCCTCATGCAGAGGTCAGTTAATTCACACAAAAACATTACTATAAATCAAAATAAATCATTATTAAAAGATTTACAGAAGGATTTTGTCAGAAGAAAATTATTGCTCAAGATATAGTTGATTTGGAGTGTAAAACAGTTATATTTTAGCTAGTTTCTAATAAAATCAAAATTCCTTCTGTAAAAAGTTTCTTTATCATCTTTTTAATGCTATTCATATTTTTTGTCAATTTAAAATACATGTGGGGAGCAGAAAACCTTTTCTACAAGGACAATTTTAACCCGGACACTTGTCTATCAGTTTACTGCTTAGTTTGCCGCTTAGTTTGGTAAGTTTTCAAACTCCGCAGGACCGCACGTCAATAGGGAAAAGCGGACCCCCAGTATGTCTTCGACGACGAGCCTTTTTCATTTTCTTCATTTGATCCGCCTTGAGTTTCAGTTTTTTGGCGCTTGTTAAGGAGCGTTATTTATTTACGATGTTATTGTTATTATTATATATTAATGATATATGAAGCTTTGGCTCTGGGCTTTTTCCTTCCTCGATGAATTGCACTCGTCTTGACATAACGCTAGCCATGTCTTCTTCTTTTTTTGCACTCGTCTCGATCTTCTCGTTCGAATAGCTTCTTGAAGTTCTTGGTCTTGACTCTTGACACTACCCTGTCCGACTGACCCAGATGATTCTGTGTGAGCCTATTAGGTGTGGTCACCGTCTTTGACCCTCGTTCTCTTGAGTGTAAGGCAACCCTCTTCTCTCTGTCCTCGTGCGTATTTGTATGTATGCCAATCCTATCCAATTACGGTCCAATGTTCACGACATTGTGATATTGTATAGCTACGAGCCTATGAGAGTTGGTCTCATGCCTCTATAAACTAACTGAAAGCTTGTCTTCTCTCCGTATATTGTTGCGCTTATGGGTAGGTTATGAGGACTTCTATTCTTCGAGTTGTCTGATGGGTTGGGAGTACTGTATGTATGTATGAAAGTGATGTGCGTCTGCTTAATAGAGTGGAGGAGTAAATCTGCTGATCGCCGAAAGACCGATGAATGGGTTGGTCGCACGCTCACGAGACCATTAATAATTTAATATTGGCGATACGTGTACGAACTACTACGAAGGGTAACTTGCCTCTTACCTTCTTTCATTCATTCGTTCGATAAATCTTGGGTCTTGGGATCTTGTTCAGACGACTTGCTCGTGTTTTTGTGTGACCAGGTTGGGCGATTTGTATTGTGAATACTTATTCTCGGAAACTCTTTCTCTGAAATCTGAAAATGTTGTTTATTTGGTTGCTGCTCATGGGTTCACGCTACCTGGTTCCCTTCCTTCTCGAAGGATGGAACACCAATAAGAGGTGGAACGTGACGCGACACGTACCTCACGTAGGCTCTAGCTCTAGCTCTAAGCCTATACCAACCCCTTCTTCGGAGTTGAGTGCTGTCTGACCTCTGACTGTCTGACTCACCGCGAAGCAGGGGATGACGAATGAATGAATGAAGTCGCGCGCGCCGTGCGTTCTGATTCCGCCGAGTGCTCCTGACCTCGTAAGTGTATAACTGTATTGGACTATATTGAGTCAATTGACTTCCTCGCTGTTCGTACCGGTGAGTTTGCTGGTCATTGAGTTGCGTGTACGCGGACACCGGGTCTTTCTCTACGTCTGCGGCGTCCCAATTAACTTCTCGTAGAACTCTCTGTTCATGATCGATATGAACTTTGTTACAATGTTAGTCCTCGCGCCGTACCACTTAACCCCCCTGATGCGTCAGATGGTCCGTCATTTCATTAACTATCTGCCTAACTGATCCCGACGAGAGGAATGGTAGATAGATGGATAGATTCAAAGGAAGAGGAAGGACGAGGAGATTGAGTGTTGACACGTAATACCGAGACGGAGCTTTGAATTTGTACCTTGAGTCTTGGGTTATGGGTTGTGGAATTTTGGTGAGTAATAATGTTCTGTTCTCTCTTGTTTTTGATATTTTTGTCTGATGCGGCTGATTTGGCTGTTCTTTTTCGGTTAATTATTTTTTCGTGCAGGTATGTGGCCGTGCTCCTTTTTGGCTACGACTCACGTGCCACCAAATCGAGAAAAAAAAGAAGGAAATCCGAATCTATTAAAAGTGGTACAAGTGGTACAATGATTAATTGCTGATCAACTAGTGTGCTCTTGATTCTTTTAGTGTGCACAGTCTCATCCTTCTGCCTCGGCTGTTTCGTTTCCCTGCGCAGTAATCGTTCGCGTGCCGTCGAAAACCGTAAAACCGAGAACCGAGAACCGCGAGCCGCATGCCGTGAAAAACCGTGAGCCGTAAGGTCAATGCCTAGGATCTTTTCTATGCCACAATGGGTCTTTCGGAACAAGTATCAAGTATCAATTAATAATTACCAACGAAGCTACCCCTGTTTAACACGGATGCGAGTTACGCGCAGGATGACCTCGGGCCGTCTCTAGGTGTCTCTCTTGTGATCAACACAGTCCCGAGTTGACGACGCCGTCTCGTTACGCTACATGCTATACACGTCTTGAGAACTCTCTACGAAATGCGGGAGAAGACAAACGGAAATCAACCTCGGAAGGCTAGACTAGGCTCGCTTGGCATACGTGTACCCCTTATTATGAAACAAGCAAGTCTGACTCAACTTTCGTATGACTGTCTACGTATGCCGTCGAAAACCGTTCAGAGCACTGGACCGAACTGGATTGCGTGACGTGTGGCCTGGGTTGGCTGGGAATCATTACCAACGGATCTCGGATTTGCGGACTTCATCATATGTCGATTTTTCCAAATTTGAAATTTGGGATTTGTATGGAGTTGGATTTGGTACGGGCCTTACTCCGTACGTTCTTTTTGGCTAAGCACGTTTTACCTGAATGACTGGATGTTGTCTTGTTTTCCTGGGATTTGGATTGGATTAGGTGAAGGTATGATGCGATACGATATGGTACGATTATCGGGATTAAGGAGTATCAGACTCTCACTTGCGAGCTCTTACCTAGCTTCTCTAGAGGTTCATGATGACTGATGACTGACGGAGGAATCTCAAGCATAGACAGGAACGGAAGACGAACGCATGTATTGAAGGCACTAGCCACGTAAACCCGAGGTCGATGTGAGTCAGCTGTGTGCTATTCGAACACAAGAACATGTCTATCTAGCATCTTGAACCTTCGTCTATACCTTACTGTATATCTGCGTGGCTTTTCAGTTAGGATTGGGACGATACGGTGGACGGAAGGCACGCGTGTGTGATTAATACCTGGCATTACACGTAAATCTGTTCACCGTCTACCTTCTACCGCACAGACTGTGTCTGTGTGCGTAGGGATGCCGTGAACAGAAGATAGTGTTTGACCGGACATCTTCGACCATCTGGATTCATCAGTCTTCTGGATTATCGTTTTTTGTTACAGATGACCTGCACATGTTGTTTGCAACATGTTTAAGCAGTAACATGACCTCTCGCAATCTCCTTAAGCAGAAATTAACAACGGTTCAAGCGCCAAGACTCTTTTGATGGGGACCCTCATCGAAGAGATGGAGCACTGGAGCACGATCAGCATGCGGGGAAACACTTGACCAGAGTCGGAAGAGTCAACTTCCTTCAAAATAGAAGATTGAGCTATATATAAGAAGTAGTCACGCACCTTCGATGTCAAAGTGATGAGTCGCATGATGACTCACACTCAAGCTAGTTAGTAGTCATACACTCGCACTCCCGTACTCCGTCTCCGTGTGACCCAAAAATATCAGATCTTTAGAGCTTCGCGATTCCCGAATTCTGTGGATCTGAGAGGGGCTTGTGATCACCGACGGGTCGTTTGCAACTAATTAGGATAGATAGATCATGGGTTTAGCTGGGGTCGTGTCCGCTGTCCCTCCCTCGTGTGTTATCTTCGTGAATGGCTCCGCTAGTGTGTAACTGCCCTTACCGATGTAGCGGACATTATAAGGCTTCTTGTGCAGATGATGTGAGTGCCACCCCTTGAAGTCGGAAAGGGTAGCCTCAGAATAAATGCACACCTGAAATGTTCGGAGTTTCGGATTAAACTTGGATCTCTCAATATTAGAATTCTTATTAATCGTTCTTGTTATATTCATGACTTTGGCTTTAAGCGTATATTAATGCTAAATATTTCATACCTGATTAATACATTAATATAATATAAAGATATGATTACGTGTGCAGTGATTGTATGCACTGATACTTACTCGTTTGATGACTCAGAATCTCCAGGATTTTGGTTTGAAAATAAGGTAAGATAACTGGACGCTAGGTGCAAGGTACCCGCAATTTGGTTATCTTTTCTTCTTCCCGCGCTCTTCCCTCGCAAACCACGAGCACGGGACATAAGCACGGGACCGGAGTCTTTTGAATAGTAATCGCGTTTATGTGTCATCTGTACACCCTCGCATGGCTATACACGTTGTGAGACGGGTTTTTTCGTCCTTGCTTGTGCTTCTTTAAAGCTATGATCCGAGATTGAGCAGGAGAAAGAGGAGGGCAAAGAGGTAGGCTTATCTCCCTCCGTTTGTCCCTCGTGGTACTTGTTTGCTGCCTTCTTTTCTTGTTTGCATAAGTTCTATAGTTCTATGCGCGTTGGCCTGTTTCCCGGTTTTCGAGGCGGCTTTTCTTCCTGGATTGAATTTAACTACTACTAGTGCCTTCCTTTACCTTCAGAATGCCGACTCGACCGTAAGATAGACGGACCGATCGAAAGCGCGAATGTGAGAATACGAATAACATGTGTTCGTTACTTCTGAATCTCCTAAGAAGAAACGCTGCGGGATTACAATCACTTTTCGCGCAAGTTGCCGAAACTCTTCACTTTTCCTCCTCCTGACTCTCCTGTTTACGAGATTAGCCAGGATCTTGAAGGTCGAAGAAGGGTAAAGTCTGGACAGAAAACGTGTTTTGAAATTCAAATTTATAACTCTGGGTCGTATCGGCATTTGGTAATTGGAAGTTCTTCTTTGGGCAAGTTTGGTGGGCTTGGATTGAGATGGATCAGCGGTTTCGATGAATGTGAATATTTGGAATTGCATAAAAGTTATGTTTAGTGCTTTCCGTAAGTGTTCACAGGAAGAGATACTGGAACACGGAAACACGGGACCGACATGTGTTAGGTTCTTGGCGTCAGGTGCTTGCTTGTAAGCATCCAATGAAAGCTTTTTGTTGGACGTTGCAACGAGGTGGGCGTTTGATACGAATACATTGGCTAAGGTTGCTTAGGATGAAGGGTTGTTTTTAGTTGCGCTCGATGCACCACTGAACGCGCCATCGCTTGTCTGATTCTCTTTCACAGAAGCTGAAGTTGGAGAGATCGGAAGTGTTGAAACTTGAAGGAGTGGAAGAAGGACAACGATTCCGAGTTCGGTGTTTCGGTGCAACGTGCCTAAACTATGTTATTTCTTGAACTGCTGATCGTTACGAGATTTTTGATTTAGGGCGCGCTTATCACTCTAAGTTGTATCGACCCCGTTTATAAATTATCGTGCTGTGCATGCAATCTCATTTGCTCAATCTACAGGCATTTCACTCACCCTAATATCTAAATGCATTATGAATATGCATTTCCCCTCAGCCATAGTGGCACGCTCAAAATACAAACGTGTGCCGGCCCGAAGTACCAGTGTTTGGTAAACACTTCTGTTCTTGTGTTCTCCAACTTCTGCTAACGTTAATACCGAGCTTCAGCTCCACTCGGATTCATACTTTGAAGTTGAATATTTCTGTTCTCTGATACTTGGTCCTTGGTACTTGGTGCGTATTTCCGTCGCCATTCATCCTCAACAGTATCTTTGAGCGGTCTGGGCTCCATACACTGCATTCTGGCCTGGACCACGAAAGAAGGAGATATGAAAGATCCAGTGTGTCCTGTCGAGTATCTTTATGGTGTGTTCCGTTTGGCGGGAAGAGCGGCGCGAAATAGGAAGAACTAGTCTTCTCTAGTCAATTTTAAACATCCTGTTCAGTTAAATTCCTGCGCCCGTACCTTTCGTTCCTGTACCAACGCTTATCTTGAACTTCAAGCTGGGGTGCTGTTGCAGACTAGGCGGACCTCGGCGCGGATGCGCGAATACGTGCGAGGACACCATCTGACAGGACGGAGCGGATTTGGCTAGTGGTTCTAGTACGAGTAAGAGGACGGATCAGAAGGGAGGCAGGGAGGCACCAGCCGAACCCCTCGCATTGGTTAGCACTGCAAGGTCTCTTCCCCGCCCATTATCGTTTCCCATGGTATACAATACCTTTAGCGGAACAAAATAGACTCTGCATCCGTGGTGAGAGACGGAGAGGTGATTGGGTTAATGAATTGCGTTTAAGTTGGAGAGGTTCATGAGAAGCAAGGCAAGTGAGAAGGGAAGGGCTTAGTGAATTGATCTGTTGTTCGCTTTGTCCCGCGAGAATCGGTCTAATGGTCACGAGCATTGGAGGTTTCCCGCGTTAGCTCAAGGTGTTATCTGAACAAGAACACAAGGCATCAGTACAGGTTCTGTTATGGTCTTGATTGTACAGCTAAGAACCTGCGTCTTCTCTCGTCCATTCCGTCTTACCTTCTGATGTTTGCTCGTCTCTGGGAAAAAAGCTCTGTTTAAATGCATGAGTGGTTCCTCGGCGAAAAGATAGAAGGCGGACAATTGGAAAAAATAAAATGGAAATCGACCAGGAATATCGTTTTCTCAGCTTGAAATTCAGTTCTGAAATATTTTTCGCGACTGGATTCTGTCCTTCTTTTTCCTCAGGGGAGCTCTTTACGCGACTTCACGCAGCGAACGAGAAACTTTCGAACTCGGCTAACTTCGTATGTTGAGAATAAGCGGCAGCCGGCGGCGAGACAAGTAAACGAGCAGGCAATTGTCGTAAGGATAAGCTCAACCTCCGGATCCGACAGTCACAGCCTCGGAGATTCGGGGGATTGTCCCGGCCGTCCGGAACTTCGGACCCCCGCAAGGGATCGACATGAGAACGACACGTGCCCCGAGTCTCCTTCATCAATTCACATTTGGAGACAATTTTCTCTTCGGGCCCTGATTTCAATTGACAAGTCTAAGTCTGGGCGCTAGGCGGGGCTGGTGCGGTGGATATACGCAGCATAGAGAACGGCAGAGTACAGCAGGCTACACATGGCGAGAGCGTTCTGTTTTGCCGTCTTGTCTAGTCGCGCAGTTTTACGGTAGAGAACGGAACATGAGAAGCGTTTCGGTGCTGATGGTGCGTCTCGGGAGTCGGAGATGGTGCGGAAGAGCATGCACGCGAGCCGTTTGGATGAAAATGTTTCCTAGGACCTTCGGTTGCCGATGGCGGTCTCGCATTTCTGTCGCAGCCTTCGCTGTTACGGTCCGAAGTGCGCGCGTGTGTAGGGTGCGGCGCAATCCAGAACCGCCCAATCTGCTCGGCGCGGTCGCCGACTATCGGCGAGATTCACGATACATGAAGAGCGCCTCTTTTTCCATCGAAACACATTCCAGGCGTGATAAACTACCATGGGATGCCCAGAATCGGAGAATAGTGGCATACACGACAATGCGCCGCAAACGCCGCAGTATTGACACACCTATTTTGTAGATATTCTGGTAAATAATGCCAGTACGCGTGCGGGGATGAGAACGCTGCAGAAAAAGCGCCAAGCCAGAAATTCGGCAATGTGTAAAGTTGAAAGAAAATAAAGTTCAAGGAATTAAGTTGATCGCGTGCCTCGTGCACCTCGCGTAAGTTTCTCGCGGTCACATTACCTATTCATTTATTTCGAGCTCTTGATCTTCTGTGTCGTCGTGGAGCAGTGCAACATGTTTTACGCGTGTGGTGTATGAGTTTATTTTGTCCCTTTTTACTGTATTTCCTGAAGGTCGTCGAACTCGTGTTCGCACGCTTAGCTGTGCACAACCATATGCTCGGAGATATATTTCTGAGGAATACTTTGTCCGCCGATACCCGCTTATTGCCGTAAGGTTGTGAGTCCATCTGGTCCGGTTCGTTTATTGTTCATTGTTTTGTTCTTGTTGCAAGCGCGCTAGCACAAGTACTCGTATCGGCCATACCTGTAATGCGAGTACATAATTGAAGCGAAGTTGTCAACCTCGGCGAACAACTGATACACATTTGTATTGCAGTGCATTGCATTTTAGTTGTATGAGCCTTCATTGCATTGCAGCATTTCATTTGCACTTAATCCTTTCCTATGTCCTGTTACAGGAGGTACAAAACACCAAACGGTCCGGATCATGTTTTACAGTATGCATCTCTATTCTTATTCACAGTTTTGTAATAACTGGATCTTGGCTCCGCAAAGCCATAGGCATTTTCCGAGGTCTTGTCTTCGTATTTCTCATTCAGAACTAGAAGCACGTAAACAGCTCCAAAACTAATAACATCGAAGTACTCCCGACGACGTGTTCTTGTGTAGAGTGTTTGTATTGGCTCGGAGCTGCAGGCATCACGGCAATATTGAACACGGGACTTGATGCGCCACTAACTATGTCGTTTATCAAAGTCGTATCTGAGTTTGCAGCAAGTATCGCGCGAGGAGCAAAATGCACCCGATGTCTTCTCAAAATCGCCGCATCTTGCTAAGGCATCGTGTAAATTCGGAATATAGCAGCATGCAATTGCGACGGTCGGAATAATTATCAACCGTCTCCACTCTTCAGCATCCAGTATCTTGAAGGCCGCATCTTCGGAGGCTTCCTCAGTTGTGTTTGGTTGCGGTATCGATTGGGCACTTTTCCGGGAGATGGGAAGTGATAGAGGCTGCCAATAGTGAACTCGGCTGCTTTGGATCCATCTTACAGGGGCCTGCTACCTCATTCAAATCGGTGTAGTGAGCAGATCGTGCGTCATAGCGGTTGCTTTCAGTGCTAATAGCCGAAAATACAAGCCAAATCGATGCACCTGGACTAGATCTCGAAGTTAGATAACTAATTTTGAGATTCTTGCTTACTCACCCATTCTCAGGTACTACATTAGATAACGTATAGGAATTTATAACCCACTCCGCCAATACAATCGTTAAAGAAGTGATTGAAACTTGCTTCTGCGAGAGTCGAAAGCATGCTGAACATCCATGTAGCCGTCGTTAACCGCCAATGTAGTACTGATATGCAAATTTGCAATCGCTACAATCTGTGTTGAGTGCAATCCAACTGATGTCCGTAATTGTATACATCAATGATAGTGAAACAAAGAAGCATTCGTACAATTCTTCTTTGGATAGTCGCGTACACTTTTACCTCTAAAGTCGTTAGCCTCGGGCTCTTCATTATGAATGAGGAGCACGGCCCGTCAGTGCGAGGGTCCTTTCTACAAGCAAAGGTACCAAGGGAAACGAGCGAAAACATCAGACGTCGAAGAAAAGTTCCAGATGTTTAGCAGTCCCGTGCTGCACGGGAACGCCAGCTTCGATACATTTTAATAAATGTGTTTTTTTCTGGTTTGGGGTTAGCTACGGTCGTTGCGCGTTGCTCAAAGTGTTCTTCTGCTTCTCCAACGGCCGTTCCTCGTTGTGCAATTTCTAGAAAAATACTAGTTTTAGACCTACAGGAGGACGTTGAATGCACAAATACCTTCTGCTTTCGCAGTCCGACAGTTTTTCCGATGAGTTTCCTATTGAGGAAAAGCTATCGCTAAATGGAGTTTAAAGGACTGCTATTCCAAAGCGATGTTGACGCAATTGCGTGTATTATGGGCCACTGCGCTGTAGGATATTCTCACCTACCTCTTTGACAACGTTCGGACAGGCACTGAGAACACAAGAACGGATCGGCTACCGGAAATATTCAGTAAGATGCTTGAGAAAGTTTGGAGAACGTGAGGTGAAAGACAGACTTTAGAGGAAGGCTGCTCAAAATAACACAAATACTGGTCTAGATGCACAACAGAAATGCGAGAAGAGCGGCCTCCTCGTCCCCAATGTAGTATTGACGGCTTCCTTAATGCGCAAATTGATCGGTAACCACTTCTTTGCCCGCCAAACACCAATCTTACATAGCGTCTTGGAAGCTGAAATAATCTGTCGTAAACGCCGTTTATAAAGGAGAATTACCAGTATTGATTAGCTTGCAATCTCGATCCTTTCTTTCCATACCTTTTTCCTCTTTGCATGCTACAACAAATGTGAAAGACATTGATGACGACACCCCACCTCAAGATATTTCGGCTCATGCTGGGTTAACATTCCAAGTTGAGTAACATAACGTATTCCTGAGGGCTCGTCCACAGGCCTGGAGCAAGTGCATGCGGCATTGATTCGGAGGACCGGATGGATTGTTCCGAGAGCTCGATCTGCCGAATACATCAGAGTTTCGCCTATGCGATACACGATGTTCATAATGCTTCACCCCAGTAGGCTGTTATGAAATTGTGTAATTTTAATCGGCATTGGAATGAACGAAGATCGGTCTGGTCTGGGCAATACGTCCCGAAAAGCCGTGGGCGCTACTCAATTCCTTCTGATAAGTGCGGACGAGCTAATGTACAGCGGGAACATCATATACAATGGCGATAGCTTCTTGGGTACGACTATGACGCGTTGGAAGCATCCTAGGCTTAAGTTTTCCTCGCGAAGCACGCTAGCTAGCCACGAAGATGCCAGGTGAATGAAGATGATGTTTCGCAAGCTCCCTTCAGGGACAAGAAAGTTCTCCACATAGATCGAGGGGACGAATACTTGTTCAACGAGCTAACGGCGCGCAAGTCTTGTGAATAGATACTCCGGGGTACGTACGTGCGGAGGATGGAGGTGTCTCCAATATAGTTTTCGAAGAACGAGAACGCGGCATCCATGGGAGTATTCCAACGCAATGACCTCCGCAAGGTCCGTTTCTCAACCTTCTCTGGCAGGACGAGCATTCATTTCACCCTGAGAAAGCCATATGGTCGACGACGTCATTGTGCGGGAAGGTCAGAATTTGAAGTGCGCGGTAGAGGGAGAAGTCGGGTATGGTACGTGTCCTCTGAACGTGTGTGAGTAATGGGACCGTGGTCGCGGCCCTTCGCAACGGTTATAGCAGGATATCAACACAGTGGGAGAACGCAAAGCACAGAGCGCATTGCTGCAGGTACAAATGGCGTCGGCGTTTCCTACTGACTTCTAGTCCGAAAGTGAAATTTGATAGGTTTTGTACCTGAATCGTGTCCCTTGACATGATGCATTTGCCTTCCACTTCTTCTGAGATTTACGGTCCGTGGATGCGTATACAGTGCAGCATGAGCGACTTTGTTAGGTGCAATACCACATATGCTCGGCATGTCGTCGTAGTTACCGCGGAGAGGATAACTAGCTGCCAACAACAGCACTAGTACAGTAGTTGCGCTTCGCCAATATGACAACAGCACTAGTGGGAAAGGATTAGTTCCGAGAATTTAGGTCATAGTGGCCCTCGGTTTCCGACGTACAGTCTCAAGAACCCTTCATTCTTTGTGCCAATATGCCCAGAAATGACGGTACTCTTCACTTCTAGCGCAGAATCGCCAGAGTAAGATTGCCTACGGAAAAATCAAAGTGAGCGAAATACACGCAGGACTGGTACCCACGACAACTAATTGGATTTAACTCGAACGAATCACCAGAAAACGCGTCTACAGCGAGGATAACAAGGGTTTACTCGTTATAAGAGTTTTCTTCAATGACAAGTCTCCGCTTGGGATGGTTTGTGTTTAGTAACAGTAGCCTTTTTTCGCGAGCAAATGGTTGTGAATCATAATGGCAGAACTCCACGAAAGGTTTACTATTCTCGGCTAATATGATCTTACGGCGTTCGAGTCACTTACGCCTTATTACATACAGATATTCAAGTTTCCTAAACATTGCTTATGTTTGTTACCACCTCATTCAAAGAGCATCACCGTGCATGTTATTCTCGGAGAATCTTGAAAACTGTGAGAGAGTCGGAAGAGCAGTTGGGGACAAAATAAATTAGATAAATGATTGTTCGGACCGTGATTGCCACCTGACTATCGTGCATAATCACCAAAATGGGGCTCGAGAGAGCGTAGCATTTTGAGGCGGGACTTTCTATCTGCCTTCCACAATCATGGATGATAAGGGGACTAAGGGCCGTGCGCAAAGCTTGATCAAATCAATTGAGGTACGTAGTTTAGGCGGACACGTCGAGTGGCTATTCTAAACATGCCGGTGTAGACTTTCAGGGTTCCGCCGCGCTGGCTATTCGTACGCGTAGAGACAACGGACGGTATCGTCGGATGGGGGGAAGGTACACTTGAAGGTCACACTGAAGCCGTAGAGGGAGTCTATCAAGAATTTAGAGATCGCTTTATTGGATCCGATGCTGATAATATTGAAGACATTTGGCAAAATGGATATCGAGGTGGCTTCTATCGTGGCGGACCAGTCTTGATGGTAAATTTGTCAGAACTACAAAAAAATTCACCAAATCATTTCATCCATGGTCTAGTCCGCTCTTTCAGGGCTCGACATCGCACTCTGGGATATCAAAGGAAAGAAACTCGGTGTGCCAATCTGGCAGCTCTTAGGTGGTAAAGTTCGCGATCGTGTGCGAGTATACGGCTGGATAGGCGGAGACAATGTCACAGATGTCATTGAAGGTGCAAAGAATAGGAAAGCGCAAGGATTCACCGCTGTCAAGATGAATGCTGCTGGTCAAGAATCAATCTGCTCTTCTTTCGATGAATGAATTCAGCTGATTTTTTTCTCGGAATAATTTTAGAACCCATGTCATGGTTAGACTCTCCAAGGGTCCTTGAGGCTGCAGTGGAACACGTTGCTCAAGTGAAGTCCTTAGACTTGGATGTTGGCATCGATTTCCATGGTCGCCTTCACAAGCCCATGGCGAAGCAACTTGCAAAGATGCTTGAGCCGCTCCATCCTCTATTTATTGAAGGTCAGGAATATTGGAAGTCTACAAAAAACTAAGATGAGATTAGTGCACATAGAACCCTTGCTTCCTACGCAGCCGGAGGAAATTGCTGACTTGGCACATGCGACCTCGTGTCCAGTTGCAGTAGGGGAAAGACTATACACCAGACACGATTTCAGACCCTACTTGGAACGCAGGGCTATTGATATAGCTCAGCCAGATGTATGCTGTCTCGTGTATCTCAATCTAGATCTGAAATCAATACTCTAGTGCGACAGGTTGCTCACTGCGGAGGTATCAGCGAGCTGCACCGTATTGCTGCAATGACTGAGACGTACGATGTTGCACTTGCTCCTCACTGTCCTCTTGGTCCAATTGCATTAGCAGCATGTATACAAGTCGGAATCTCCACCGCAAACTGCAAGTAGTCTTTTCTCTTCATTTTGATTATCCTGTGCCTAAATTTTGTAAAGACGTCATCCAAGAAATGAGTTGGCAGGTGCGACTACAACGCTTAATAAGATTTGTAGTTACTGAAGTTTCGAGTGTCTTCACAGATTCATTATAATCAAGGAGCTGATTTGTTTACGTATCTTTTGGACTCTGCTGTGTTCGACATTGAGGATGGCTGCATCAAGGCCCTCGAAGGCGAGTAATTAATTCTATTGATATTATGCGGGTGCTGTGGGTGATAACGTTCCGGGAATGGTTAGGCAATGGACTTGGTATTGAAGTTGACGAGGTCAGGGTCAAACTGGCTGCAGAATCATACCGAACAGAAAAGGCTTGGAGGAACACAGTACCAAGAGGACCAGACAATTGCTTGCGAGAATGGTAGGGATTGAATTATTAGACAGTCAGAAGAGAGACACCGGAGAATAAATAAATAAATGAAAAAAGTAAAGAAATAAACTAGGGCACGTGACGTTGCTGACCACGTCACGACGCTGGGACGCGAGGCTCGAGCGCGTTGTCAGTGTTGAGTAAACGCAACGACGACGACTACCACCATACCTCCCTGTTAACGATGGCGAGGACGACGCGAACTACCTCACGATGTCTGCGGCGGGCTATATCGACCTTTTCCTCAGCACCAATTCTCCTTCTTGCACTCATAGTAATTCTCGCACGACCTGCACACGGCATAAAATTCCACCTTCCAGCTTACAAGAACCCACCATCAAAATGTATATGGAACAGCGTACATCCTGACCAACTCGTTATTGTGACGGCCAACCTCGGAAGCGGAGACAAGCAGCGCGTAGACGTGGAAATCGTGGATTCGAGTCCACAGAAGAACCAGTATCTCAGTAAGAAGGGAATCAACGGGGAAACGAGACTCGCTGTTACTGCGCATGCTGAAGGCGAGGTTGGAGTGTGCTTCCGAAATTATCTTGACAAAGGTATATTTGCGTGTCTAAACGATGTAATCGTCTGTGAGGACTAACCTTCTCTTGCACGAAGACCAGCCTCAGGAAGATACACCCAGCCGTTCACGGATCATTGACCTTGACATCGATATTGGTGCAGATGCCGTTGATTACAAGTAAACTTCGTCATCATTCCTCGCTTGAACTATGCTGATCTTCCTTCCTAGTGCTATTGCCGCTCAAGAATCACTATCTGGACTCGAAACGGAAATGCGGAAGCTCGAAGGCATAGTCAAGGAAATTGTGGAAGAGATGGACTACCTGAAGAGGCGGGAACAGAGGTTCTCCAGTACCAACGGTCTGTATCCACTTCTCCCGTTCCCTAATCACCGCTCATGTTTCTATTTTCTGCAGAGTCAACCAACAAACGTGTTCAGAACTTTGGTTTCTATACGTTTATCGCTCTTGTAGGCCTCGGAGTTTGGCAGATATTCCACCTTAGATCCTACTTCAAACGGAAGTACCTTATTGATTGACTTCTAATGCCATTGGTGCTTTTTCGCTTCTATTACTTTCTCATCTGCGGGGAATGTGAATACACTTTGTACGTCAAGGGTTAACTATCGACTTCCTCAATACGGAAACATTCAAGCTACTTCCGTTTCTTCGCTCTCCGGTACCGACTCCATTTCAAATCCTGTATCATCTTCGTCAAGAGACGCGCGTTGTTGGATACCGGAAATCTCGGCAAAGTGGATCGAAGTGAGCACCTTGCTCGTCGATAGGCCACAGCGCATTTCTTCTCGAGCGATCTCTCGCAAGTTGAGGAGAATGCGCGAACCCATGACGCAAGGGAACCCGAAAGCAAAACCTAGAGCGGCGCACATGACGAGCGGCTGAAACGCGACGAATGCCATATTTGCTACGCTACATATGAGAATTCTGTGGCCAGGCGGAATGAGTACACGTTTTGGGGTGTCATAGAAGAAGCTCACCCAATGAAATAGAGAGCCTGGTCGCGAACGAGAGTCTTATGAAGTTGTAGATCCGCCCAATCTTTCCCAGGTGTCAATCTACGAAGTGCCAAGGATTTGCGGAGTGTCAAGACAAAGAGGAAGAAGTCCGTAATAATCGGTGGAAGCCTAGATTAAAGCCGGTCAGAGAAGTACCAAAGTCCAGGTGTGACTTAACACTTGGAGCTAACCAGAAGAATGCGAGCCATATTGGGGGCCGCTGCTTGCTTCCACATGCATTGACGTCTTCGAAGTAGGTCACTGACCAAGAGACTATTAGACGTTGAGAAGCTTGTCAATTTTTATTGTATCTCACTTTTGGTTACCAGATCCCATGCGATCAAGATCCCCGCCATTATACTCGCCTGCACGAAGAAGAGCACCACTAGTAGTATCGTGGAGTTGCGACCTACGCATGGAGGTGTCTCAGGCTCCGTGATAGATAGAGATAAGGTCACGCACTTCTTTCGTAGAGCGAGCTCACTCGTATTATAAGGATAACTATCAAACATTCTTAATTTTGAACGATTGGTGAATTGACATGAGCGGCTGCTCACTCTCGACAAGGAGTACAGCGATCCAGCCTGTATAAAGTCAAAACGGGCATAATGTGACGATTGCAAGTCTCTTACCTGTACATTGTTGAAAGTAGACTTGAGCCCTACCTGTTTTAAAAAAGCCGAGGTTTGTACTGTATGAAATTGTCGATGGAGATGCCCTTTCACTCACAGCTACGGCGAAACAACCAGCAAAGGAAATGTGTCACTTAGAACGGGTAGAAAGATAGGACCATTCCCTACTCACAATGATTCTGATCGATAATCCGTGACCGAACCTTGAGATATAAAATCAATACTGAGGTGAGGGGAAAGAAAGTGATGAACCGGTTGGTACACACCCCATGTGTCAATTACAAGAAAGAGTAAACCTCCATATCGGTTCTGGAGGATTAAGCTGTGAGTATATATGATTGCTCGTGGAATATGAAAGACTCACTATCATGTAGATAACTTTGATCAACGACCAGCGTTGTTTCTGAACAGTTGCCTTAGTTCATATCGTGCATGCGACAATAGAAGGCCTACCCAAAAGAATTCTACCTAATACGAAGAACTCAGAGAAGAAATTCAAGTGGAAAGTGAAGATAAACCCACTTCTCTATCCATAGTGAGTACTGAGACGAAAACGTTAGGTTTGTTTTACTTCCGTGCATATACAGTTAAGCCACTTACAGGTATCGTATATCACGACTATCATTGCGGACAATCGAGTAAGCCTTTGAGTGAAGAGCATATGATCCAAATCAATGATAGATTGAAGATATTCATTGTTAATTGACCCATGCGAGGAAGACATTTTGTAACGAGAGTGCGCAGGATCGGGTAATGAGCAAATAACAGAAGTTCGAGGTCAATACTATGGTACAAAATCTTAGGAACGTCGTTTTCAGACACGTCATTGCAGCATAGAATACTCGTCTACTCACCACGGATATTTTAGGAGACCCTGGCACCGTGGCGCGACAGCAGAATTATTGCGGACCTATATAATATACACGGTAGTGTGGACCAAAGAAAGCGAATTTGTCGAATACTGTCTGCGTTAATTTATACATGGGCCCTATGTTATTAAAATGATCTCATTAGGAGATATCAATTGAGTATTGGAACAAACATGTCCAGAAGCAATCAGAGACGCCTTGTACTTCCATTGCTTACATAATCCACGGTACCTTGACCGATCTCAAAGCAGCGTTGCTCCGGTGCCAAAGATACCTCAGTCACCGATTAATTGCTGCTCGACCCTGAATATCGTGCAAGGGCGGAATGACGTGCAACCTTCTCATACATTAGATTACCGGATAGCCTTGCGCTCAGCACCACGTTCGATCAGGTAGACCAAGTTCAATCCGTAATTATTTGTTTCAAGGATGCATACCTCATAGATCGGTGCAGACAGACAGGCATGAATTGAACGACCCTCGAACCAGGTAAGTAACCCAGTTGCTTTTGAGCAGGATCGGACAGTGTGGGTGTCATTTTTTGGGACTCAAGGCTCCTATATTGCACCGTACGGAGATAACAACCAATGTCCGGTCATAATCCGGCAAAGGCATCTCGAAGAACGGCGCTCTGCTGTTCTCTGAAGAGCTTACCTACACCAACAGCCGGAACAACGTCTTCCTTCCTTCCGATGTATCTTATTCCTCGCGCCTCGCAACCGACCTTCGTCTGAACTTCAAGTAGCCTTGAAAACACGTGCGACCATGCACCCTGATTCCGAGGCTCCTCCTGCACCCAACACCATTCCCGCGCATTCCGATAGTGCCGTAGAATAATTTCGAGTTCCTTGTACGGGAAAGGGGCGAGTTCCTCAACCCGAATTAGGGCGATCTTGTTGGCATCTTCCGATCCGAGTGTGTTCCGCTCCTTAACAAGGTCGTAATAAAGCTTTCCGGAAAGAAGCACGACACGCTTGACAGCAGCAAGGTCGTTTACTGCACTATCATCGAGGACAGGCTGGAATCGAGTGTTCGGCTCGAACTGGACAAGAGATGACGCCGCGGCCTAGAAAGCGTGTCACCTCTCAGGCACGATGGGATGCGTTAATCTATCTTAACAGCTTACGGGAAGGCGCAATAAACCCTTTGGGCTGGCAACAATGAGCGGTCTACGATAATTTCGCTTCATTTGGCGACGGAGAAGATGGAAGTATTGCGCCGGTGTTGTTGGATATACAACCTGCATGTTAATTCGCTTTGCCCCATCACCTTCATTATATTCACTCGGATCATTCGTGAGCTGTGGATAACACGGACAATTCCGTCACTAAGAAGACAACCGATAAGAGGAAGTGAAGTACCTGGAGCATTCGCTCGATACGCATGGAAGAATGTTCCGGACCAGCGCCATCTAGTCCATGAGGTAATAATACAACGATACCGCTCTGCATCAGCCATTTTGCTAGGCAAAGACATCAGGATCGAACAAAATGGAACAACGGACAGGCTAGCTTACTTTCCGCTGAGGATATGAAGGTGTCAAATATGACTTGAGCGCCATTGAAAAAGTCACCGAACTGAATTGCGGAGATGAACAGAAGAACGTCATGAAAATGGATCGGATCCGTACCTGTGCCTCCCATATCGGTAATAGTTTCGGTGTTTCCCAACTCATTCCGTATTCAAACTAGATACTAATTTGGCACTTTATCGAGCTAGAGAGTAAAACAAATTCTCACCCCGAGGACTGCCATTTCACTCAGAGAGCCTAAGACATCTGGTGAGTGGGTCAAACAGTCCGAAAGGGAGTTTAGCACTTACTGTTCGCAAGCTCTAGTCGACCTTCGGAGTTCAACCTAGCATTCAGAGGTACGCTGACATTCTCGGTCCGTTGGTCTACAAGCATGGCATGCCTGATATCGTCATGGTTAGTTCGATTCTCAGTGACGTCATAGGAACCACCTCACCGTTGGCTGAACGTTCCTCTTCCAACATCTTGACCAGAGATCCTAACGTCATATCCCTCTAACATGAGGGATCCAAAAGCCATTGCCTAACTCGAGCGTCAGCGTTGTGTATGAGAAGGTCAGGTGGAGACGAGCCTCGGCTGTTGCCCAATCAATACCGGTCTCCGCTTCGATGCTCTTCAACCGAGCACTGCTATGCCTCTTCAGACGAGGGTGGATTTCCTGCGATACAAATTTACGAGCTTAGGATTGTCGACGAATGCACATTCCTACACTTACAAAACCTTCTGGAGCTTCTACACTGGCTCGTGCTACGTCTTTGAGCGTTTCAAGCGCTACTCCTGTCTCTGGATCTCGAATAGCCTCGGGAGATACTGGAAGCACCATCTGTTTCCACTTTCCACCAAGGGTATTCAATGCGGGCTTGAATGATTCAGCTGCCTGAAGTTCCGATTCCAGGTGTGCCTTGTATGAGGATCGAAGTTGTGAAATATCTTCAGATGAGATCACTTCCTCATGCTACCGGAACCCACTTAGAGACCAAAGCCTGAAAAGAGAATAATAACCTTACCGTAAGTTTGTCTTCGTAAAGTGCTGGTACGCTCTTTCGAGTCCGTATATTCTGGTACATGGCTGGTTGAGTGAAAGCGGGTTCATCAAGTTCGTTGTGTCCCCTTGTCATATCGTTTCATTAGCATTGACGGTAATGTAAACAAGTTTCTTCAACCTTTACCAACGACGATAAACCAAGAGATCAACAATAATATCCTGCCAAGGGAATTTAGACTATAGGAATTTAACATAAGGATATTCTCACCTTTCGGAATGCATTGCGATACTGGAACGCAGTGTCTAATGCACGTGAGACATCTGTACATTTAAAAAGGCGAAGTCAGTCGAATGAATGGCGAGTCTTTCAGCAATGACAACCTTCTGGGTGATCGCCATTGACGTGCAAGACAGGTGCGTTGATCATCTTTCCAACATCCGAGCAATATAAGGATGATCGAGCGCTTGATGCCGGAGTTGTATATCCAATACTATAAGAAGATAAGAAACGAGCTGGTGCTGAACAATGTTTCACGCGCGTACTTATTGCTAATAACAGAACGTCAGAAGTCGTTCCTGAAGACGGAAAGACAGACTAACTTCACGACTAGGTGCACACTTCCACCGCTCGTAAAATGCGGTAAATTGCCTTATGATACAGTCAATTTGCTATGGCAACGGTTAGAAATAAAAGAGAAGCATACTCAGTCCAAGAGATTCCATAACTACACCCTGGCCAATGAAACTTGCATCACCATGCAATTGGACACACATCACTTTGTCTCCGAGTTTACAATCTGGATCGGCCTCCTTGATGAGTGCAAATTGTTTTGCGCGAGTCTTTCCAAGAGCAACGGGATCAACAGCCTCTGCACAACGTGAGTTCCAGTGACTTGTTGATGTCATTTCAACATACCGAGGTGAGATGGATTCGGCAGAAGAGAAACTTTGAGCGAGCGTGCGGTATTGCCATAACTCAGAGTCGGCGCTGCAACTAGTACCAAGTCAATACAATACACTAATAGTCTATTCATGGAAACCAGCCTATACCTAGATGACTGATGACGTCACCAGAATAACCAAGGTCTTCCGGAACCTCACTCCCTCCTTTAATCTTGTGGAAAAGAGCGGCTGGAGTAGATCGAAGCAAATCTGTGAGCAAGTTGAGGCGTCCCCTGTGTGGCATAGCGAGGACAATATGCTCAACGCCTGCCTTTGAAGCAACGGAAAAGAGTGTATCAATCGCTGGTAGCATAGACTCGCCACCTTCGAGACCATATCTCTTCAGGTTGGGGAACTTGACTTGAAGGAATTGATCAAAGACTTCGCTACGGGTCATGAGTTCCCATATTCTCTTCTTCTCCTCCGGCCTCCGAACATTCTGAGGCGCAACTGCGCTACTTTCGAGAATATGAGAGAACCACAATCGTTCGGTCTTTGACGGAGAGTGCATAAATTCGTATGCAATGTTTCCTACGTACACGGAACGCAAGTGAGATACAATCCGTTCTAGTGGCCAAACTTCTGATGACGGCATATTTGGTCCGGCCGGATTGGTCCAGACAATGCCATCTACTGGAAACGTCTGCTTCGGATTCTCAAGGCCGTAACGTGAAGGGTCCAATGCCGCCACCTCTTCACGCTGCAATAGGTCCAACGGATCTATGTGTGCTGCGCGATGTCCATGTGTCCGCATCGAATCGACATAACGGAGTAATGGGGCATTTGTCGCGCGATTCTGAAGCTGGGAAGAGGTATCTATGCAAGTACCTAATAGTAAATAACTCGAAAGCTTCAATTGTTGCTACGTTTCTTACAATCTGATAGGACAAGCTCCTGGCGCCTTCTGTATCCGAATGACTCATCATGGTATGACCTCTGATGCGCCTTCGGGGTTGCATTACCCTTCACGGTCACCGAGGCCGTTCGCACATAGTTGTGTAAGTATTGTACAGTCCGGACCACAGTAGACTGCTTCATGACAGGTCATCAGTCACGGAAGCGACTGAATCACGATAGTAGTGAATGAGAGAGAATAGCAGAGAGCAGAGAGAAGTCATCTCGGACGGAACTCAATAAGACGTGTTTCGTCCGAAGACTCGGGAGAGTCGTATGGAATGGGATAAGTTGCAACGCGTGACCGGACCGTGCCTTCTTTGTCATCGTGTTTGCTTAGTAATTGTTGCAGATATTAGCATCAGCATTTGAATTTGAAAATACTTATGCAGCCCGCTATGTTCTACCATAGCAGTGATTCAGATTCATTTAACTCAATAATTGTTTCTGATTTTATGATTCAGTTCCTTTTATTATAACAATTTTCAGCCTTGTAAACGTATATTCATTCATTAATAGTAAATACTATTTTACAATCATGTTGAGCAAAGACATGTTTCTTTGAGCATCATACATTAATTGACTACAAATTGCAAAGGGTTTCCGGAATCTGTTCCATGTCTCTATCAGTCACAGTAAGATGATACACATGTTCCAGCATGCTTTCGTCGGCCTTGTCCGTATAAACGTCGATGCTTTCTTCCTCCAACATCACGAAAAAGTCGCAACAAATGTATTTAATAATAGCAAAAGTAATCTAATAAAAT